AAATTCCCCAACTCGTTTGGCAAGAGGTGTAAATATCTAGATTTAAATCAAGAATGTCAAGAAAATAACGCTGTTAAAAGCGCAAAGATTCCCTAAATAGTTTCATTTTCTACGACTTTCGTAGAGGCTGAGGAAGTAAATTTAATTTGTCACACACTTTTAAGCGGGTGTTATTAATCCGCGGATCAGCAGACCGCGGAACTTTCAGAACCTTCGCAGCCTGCAGCCTAAATTCTTATAAAAAATTACGTGTGTGAAGTGTGATGTTTGAAAGGACAATATCGTTTATATTTTCAAAAACTTGCGTCTCACTTACTAATATTTGTGTTGTAACGCAACGATCTCTAAAGTTTTTTCTCCTAACTCCCCTCCACGACTCGTGTTTCACATCAAAAAGTAAACAATCGAAACGATTCAAAATAGTGTTGGGTTTGTACATAAAATCGACTTTATTTTGTGCATTAATATTTAGAATAAACTCTAAAAGAAATTTTTCAAGATGAAAATTCGTGTGTTAAAGGTAAGGAGCGATTGAAAGAACTGAAGTTTATCTCAATAAATATTTGTGTTGTAACACAACGATCGTTGAAGTCTTTTACGAACCGCTCCCACGACTCGTGTTTTCACATCAGAACGTAAACAATCGAAACGATTCAAACTAGTATTGGGTTGGTATCTAAAATCGATGTCATTTTGTTCATCGATGTTTACAATAAACTCTAACACGAAATTTTAAGAGGAAAGTTCGTATTTTAAAGGTAAGGAGCGATTGAAAGAACTGAAGTTACTCTCGAGTTGTTTTCGGTCTCACTTCGTGAGACTGTTTCGCAAGCTTATAAAATTCATGGAATCATCTTCTCACTAGAGTATGAAGTAGAAGACTTGGACAACACAGAAATCGATCATATGGTCAGAAAGGCCATAAAGGAAAAAGAGCACAACTACATAATTGTTGCCTATTCTGATCCTAAGAGAAATGATGCTATCAGACTACTACTGTGAAAAAAGTCGCAAGCATAAACAATAGACTAAAAAGTATCACACTTACCTTACGCAAGGCAACAAGTTAATATTATTTGTAAGTTACTAGCTTTACTTTTTACCAACTTGCCGAACGTGACAATCGAAATTCGTTTACCGGGTGTTTTCATCTGTTATTGTTAAGAAAGTCACAAATAGACACAACAGAACTTCACTTGTATGTTAGCTGCATCCGTGCATTTGTTGCTATAGAGACGAACAACGCTTTTAGAGTCGTTACTCGAACATATTTCAATTCTGACCATACAATCGATTTCTTCGTAGTCAAAGTCTTCATGACATTTTAAGAAACAAGAAAGAGTTTCCCAAGCTTACGAAATGTCCGTGAGTAAGAAACGAGTATACACCAAACGAACAGCCCTTCGATTTTTTGCTAGAAACGGAGAACGCTTCCGTTTGTTGTTAGAAACGAACAACGCTTTTAGAATCGTTACTCAAACATATTTCAATTCCGAGCATACGATCGATTTCTGTGTAGTCAAATTCTTCATGATATTGTTAGAAACCTAGAAAAAGTTTCTCAAGCTTACGAAACGTCCGTGAATTGGAAACGATTACATACCAAACGAACAACGCTGCATTTTGTTGTTGGAAACGAAGAACGTTTCCCTTTGTTGTTAGGAATGAACAACGCTTTAAGAATCTTCATGGTGTTGTCGGAAACAAAGAACGCTTTAGCGATAAAAAAGTTCTCAACGTTATTGCCTATTTACAGTCTAAAATTCTTCGGGCTACTTGACTTTTTTTTTCGGGCGACATTACTAAAATTTCGGGCAACATGACTCAGGTTTCGGGCGACATGACTTCGGGCGAGATGACTCTCGGGCGACTTGACCGGTTACCGATGATACGAATGTAGGTAAAGTTAAAGACAGTTGCTAACTTTACGGTGGGAGGATTACACAACGGGTCTGGCAAGGCAAGTATACCTCTAAGAAACCTGAAGACTCGTTGAGGAGGCAGTTAATCTGAAAGTAATCCAGTCTCCCACAATACTTTTAATTGACACTGATTTGAATCTACTCTAAAAAATTGTATTAAATTATACCCGGCTCATTTCAAAATGAAAAAAGCCATAGAAATAGTTATGGGAGAATTACAGCTACCTCCAAAGGTGGAAATGATGAAAATGTGAATCACTCAAATGGAGAAACCAATCGTGTAAAACATGGGCCTATAGGAAAGAAAAAAAAAAGACAAAAGCCTATTTTCAAGTTTAGTCAGCCTGTGGGGTTGGAGGGAACGTTTCTCTTATTAAAAACTGGATCAATGGATAATACAATTTAAGAGTTTTTATTGGGCTTAGCCTTCTTCGGTTATTAATTATTATATAAGAAAATAAAGTTGGGAAGATTTATTTATATTTTGGGGAATTTTTCATAAAACAATTATTCCACTCGCACTTGTTGGCTATGAGATAGTTATAGCCAACTCGGCCTTACAGATCTCGTTGGCTATCTATCATCTCATATCCAACATGCGCTCATGGAAAAATGGTTTGATATTCTGTGACCTGGAGTGAGCATTCTTTGTCCATACAGCCCCTAATCTCTAGTGGGGTTTTTGTTAAAGTTATCTTTGATAAATTTAAGCAATGATTTCAACCAATTGATGGCCATTACAAATGGGCATTCTTCAGTGTTTTGTAATGATGTGTCTTCAGTGTGGCAATAATCATCTTTAGAAAGTATTTTGTTCATGACATAGTCCAGAAGGATACATAAGCCAGTGTACCTTTCCACAACATCAAAGTCAACAGCTTTTTGTGGTTAACGCAAACAAACCGGATAAAGAAATAAAGGTTGATTTTCTGCTTGAAGGACTGATCTACTCTTATTTATAGCACAAGCAAAATATGAACAATGAGCCATTCCAGAAACATGATATATTTCATGGCTTGATACCTGAAAAAAAGCAAAATTGATAACCATAGTAAAGAAGATGACAGCACAGCCTAAAGCATAATCCAGAGTTCCACTTTCTCTCTGAGAATGAATTCCAATTTGGCTTTTATGAGGGTGGCAAAGGGATTCTATGTATGAACTATTTTAAAATTAGTGCATGAAACGGGATCTGGACCCCTCCCCCCTTTGCTACCCTTTCATATGAGCATGAAAACTCACCTAACAACAACAAAAATTTAAGTAAAGTCTGGTAGAATTTGTTTATCTTGGAGCATCTTACACTAAGAAGTCTCCAAATGATCTTTTTTATTGACTTTTTCTATATCTGCAAAATATTCCAGGTAAAGAATGACATCATAATGGCCATTCCTTTCAAAAGAGACTGAGGAAATAGTTTATCAGCTTTGCAACATTGCACTCCTGCAATACTCTGACTTGCTGTATCATTTAAATGTCTATTCTGGTAGGACTGTGGCTCAAAATGGCCAAAGCTAACCACAGCACAACCATCCTCACATAATGATTCCCCAAGAACAAAGTTTCAATCTTCTCTAGGATAAAGATCCACCCATGTAAGATCAACAATGCAGTAACCATCCACAAGGAGATTAGTCCTCAAGAAATGCATCAAATCTGAAATTAGAGTAAAAAGGGTTTTTGATCACTCATTGATTGGATACAGTTGTAACAAGAAAGGATTTATTGCTTGCTGCGTGATGAAGTCACTTCCAGTATGGGCTGTAACATTTTTTTTTATCAACTGAGTTGATTTTGTCAATTGGCCACTGTAGAGAGTTTTTAAAGCTGACATTTTTTTGTATTAGCCCTTCGTTCAAGGAAATGCTTGCTACACCAGCCACAGACACAGCATCACTGACAGTTTCTTTAGAAACTCATCATCTGTCAAAGCCAAATAAGTGCACTTTGCAATTTAGTGTTGTAAGACCAAAATCAGAGTGGCAAGAACAGCCAATCATGTCATAACAAAAGGAATAGCACAAAAGGCCATTCATAACTCTAACTAAAAATAAGAAAACTGCCCAAGGTATGGGAAAACCCAAGTAACCAAGTCAAAATTGGCTTGGTTTTGTACCTGATTGGTTGAAAATTTGGCACAAGATTTACCAGACTAATTGCAGAGAGACGAAAAGTGAAGGTCAACTTTATAGTAATTCCAGACTACTTTCCATACTTGCTTGAAAATTTCTTAAGTGTACGAAGAATGTATATAAACTGGTCACTCCTGGGGTCAAAAAAGAGTAAACATAACATTTTTACTCAAATATGCTACATTGCACTTTTTTTCTACTTTTTACCTCAAGTGTGGTACTTATTTGAGGGAGGTGCTTAGTCAAGGGCACCACTTATTAAAAGTCAGATGAAACCAAGAAATTTTTATTGTAACTAACAGGGGCATCTTTTGATTGTTGCCATAACTAACAGGGGCATCTTTGGATTGTTGCCATTCATCTCTTCCAGCACTTTAAGAATTGGTCTGCAAGAATCAAACGTCTTGGGAAATGAAAAATTTTCAACCCCCTTCAAATTTTGTGTGCAGTTATGCATTCAGGGGGGATGCACAGAAATTCCTTTTTAAAGGTTGCACTTGTTTCCATGAAAACAATGGCTGCTTGTTTGCAGTGTGGGGCCTTATTTTCATACAAAAACATCCTATAAACAGTTTGAAATGTTTATCTCTCTATCTCCCCCTCAATAAAAAATTACTGATTGGTACTTCTACCATACATAGCAACATCACTGCCTCCAGTTTTCCCTGAGGGTTTGTGTAAACACACTAATCAATTATTTACCTCAGTACAGTTTCAGTCATTTTGCTGTAGAGTAAAAAAGGGAAAATGTTAATCTGAATTTCTCCAAAAGTAGAACAATTCTGGAACTGAGATTATGCACCTAGTTGGTGGTAGTATTCTAGTTTCTAAATATGTAAAATACAGTCAAGGAGATAAATACTTTTTATTATATGTTAAACACCAATGAAATGCCAAGTGAGCTTACATGCAAAAACATGATATCTCAACGTGTGAAAAGATCACTGTTGCTATGGTTACATAGAAAAACCGCACCTTTCCATGTTTTACTTAAAAAAAAAATACTCAAATGAAATGACTGGTAGAGTATTACATGGCTTCTTGGAGAAACCAAATTTCACTTGAAGAGAAATTTCTTATCTCCACGTGGAAATGTAATAAATTCTATTTACTAACAAAGTTTGAGGTCCCCACTGTACGGTGAAATACAGTGCGCTTAATTGACCAATTATGTCGCACTTCTTAACTGAGAGGTGTAACAAAATCAGTTTGTAAACGTAAATAATACAACCTCATATACTCTGACCTGTTGCTAACAACTGCAGTTTTCCAGTATCTGAAATCTTTGTTTACAGTTCACCTTCGTGACAGCAATCTCGTCCAGAAATTTGACGGTCATTCCGAAAAAGTAGCAACTCACAAAACTCTTGATCAACTCGAAAGTGGGGACACTTCCATACTCAATTGGTATCCGTAAACCCTTTGGAAAGGGGCTGACAGGCAGTATATATAATATCCTTTGTCTATATCGCTTTCTGTGATGCTTTCTCAAATTCCTGAAACACATTTGAACCTTCCACTCTGGATAGGTTTGAACTTCACGAAGATCTAAGGCATCTCCAATATATGTTTGATAAAGATTTTGACATGAATCCGTTGCTAGCTCGAAAAGGGAGCGTACCCCATCATAAAAATATTTATGTTTTCCAATAGGTGCCTTGCGGTTCATCGGTTTCGATTCTGATCCGTTCATTTTAAATATTTAGCATTCAAATGCAGCTAATACAGCCGCCATCTTGTTTAAAAACATTTACCGAGGAGGCCCTGGAAACGATGTCCCTAGCGCGCGAAAGCGCCCATGTCGGAAGGCAGCCCTGGGCATTTTCTTCTCACCCCGAGATTTCAGATTTTACCGCTTCCTGAGACGGAACTTCGGAAGGTCGTGGATTTGACTCCTGTTGGGAGTACTCGGGGATCTTTCCTCCGACTATGCCTATATCATTCAGTAAATAACATGATCTTTCATTTAAAAATCACCAGGCTTAAACTATTTACCATCTTTATTTACGTCATCTTGCGCAGAAGCTTTACATATCGACATTCTTATCGTAACAGTGTGCAGGAAGTTAAAATAGTTAAACGGCTTAGCCTACCACGAGTGTCCTATAGCAGTAAAAATTAGAAGGTTGTAGGGTCGACCCCAATTGGAAATACTCGGAGTTCTTTTTCTTTAGGTAAGCCCGTGTTATTCACTGAATTACATAATCTTTCACTTCATTTTTCAAAACAACTCCTTCTAATTTGGAGCTTAAGCAAATCACAACACGAACCACATGTTCGCCTTATTTTACAACACACATGTACTTACGGTCCCTAAATGCCAGAGGTCTGCAAGGGATCTGTAAGCCCCCTACAATCCTCCCTAGACAAGTAAGAGGGATTCCATGCATCATAAGTACATGTGTGTTGTAAAATAAGGCGAGCACGTGGTTCGTGTTGTCACTGATGCTTAAGCTCCAAAGTAAGCAGCGCCACGATTGTCATCAAACTGATCATGGAGCTTATTGGAATCAGTTCTAGCCATCTAGTGTATGCATCAATGACAATCAGAAAATTCAGCTTGTCGTTCTCGAAGAAATTAATGTGAACACGCTCCAACGGCTTCGCAGGTCATTTCTACGGGTGTACAGGTGCTTTAGGCGGCGACTTGCCCACAGAAGCTCAAACATGGCAAGCACTGACGCTGTCAATTAATGTGAACTTCGCAGGCCATTTCTACGGGTGTAAAGGTGCTTTAGGCGGCGACTTGCCCACAGCAGCTCAAACATGACAAGCACTGACCCTGCCAATCGCAACATCCGCTCCAGGAAATAGGCTGTGCGATGCATATTATGTCGGGTTCTCAGCCCGACATCTTGATCGACGCATTACTGAACACAAACATTCGGAAATCGGTCGACATTTAATGGAAGCTCATGGTAGCAACCACCTCTTGAAAGAAAAGCAAGTTAGAGTTTTAAGGAAGTGACCGGGAAATTTTGATCGTTTAGTCTATAAAATGCTGTTCATCAAGAATCTCAAGCCTAATTGAAATATCCAGACAGACTCTGTACGTGCCAAACTTTTTTTGGCTTGATAAGGTTTTCGCTTAACATATCTTCATTAAATATCCTAGTTCTTGCAAAATGATCAAAGCAAAAACTCGCGGTCGACTGTGTAAGTGAACGATATAATTTCAGAGTTATCTCTAGCAGATAAAAGTATTGGTTGCTTACGAACATGAAGAGGGACGTGATTGGTAATTTAGCCGGATCGGAAGCTTCAATTATTTTTCGTTATTGAGGAAGCAAAGATTTTTTAACCAAATATGACCGCCATGTACACTAAATCACAAAAAAGGTGACTATGAGCAGAATTAGTTACGCATGTGTATCCTGCTATCATTTTGTTCACCTCCAGGGAAGTAAGGAGTCAGTTGTTCTCAGATATCACTGGAGCTTTCCAGGGAAAAGGAGGAAATATTTTCATCATATAATTGTCAACGTAGAGGAACATCAACCCCGACTTTGCATCGAGCTCTGAATTGGTTGTTTAAAGTGACAGATCGGATTGGTATTCAGTTAACGATGAAGGGACATGTTACGGAACGAAGGTAAGGATGTTAGTCGAAGCCCATTCGTCAAAAATGTCAAAGAGCATTGCGCAAGATGACATTCGTCCCAGTTCTTTCCTTGTTTGTGCTGAAATACCGTTTTGAAAAAATTTCTCAAACACGTTTGGCAAGAGGTGTCGATATCTAGATTTTAATTAAGAATGTCGAGAAAACAACGTTGTTAAAAGCGCAAAGATTCCCTAAATATGTCACACATTTCCTGCGGGTGTTATCAATCCGTGGATCAGCAGACCGCGGAACTTTCAGAACCTCATAATTTTTATAAAAAGTTATGTGTGTGAAGTGTGATATGAAGGACAATATCGTTTATTTTGATAAGAATTTGCGTCTCACTTATTAATATTTTTGTTGTAACGCAACGATCTCTAAAGTTTTCTCTTAACTCCTCCCACGACTCGTTGTTCACATCAGAATGTAAACAATCGAAACGATTCAAAATAGTGTTGGGTTTGTACATAAAATCGATTTCATTTTGTTCATCGATGTTTAGAATTAACTCTAAAATAAATATTAAGATGAAAATTCGCGTGTTAAAGGTAAGTAGCGATTGAAAGAACTTAAGTTAATCTCATAGATATTTGTGTTGTAACGCAACAGTCCTCGAAGTCTTCTACTAACTGCTCCTACGATTCGTGTTTCACATCAGAACGTAAACAATCGAAACGATTCAAAATAGTGTTGGGTTTGTTTATCGATTTTTAGAATAAACTCGAACACGAAATTAAAGTGTTAAAGGTAAGGAGCGATTGAAAGAACTGAAGTTAATCTTGAGTTGTTTTCGGCCTCACTTCGTGAGACTGTTTCGAAAGCTTACTAAAGTCACGGAATAACCTTGGCTGCGTTACTGAATGTGTGATTGAAATACTTCGTCTGATGATACGAATGTAGGTGAAGTTAAAGATGCTTGCCAACTTTACGGTGGGAAGATTACACAACGGGTCTGGCGACGCAAATATAGTTACTTCTAATTAAGAAATTTGAAGAATCGTTGAGTAGGAAGTTCATCTGAAGGTAATCCAGTCTGCAACAATACTTTTAATTCACACTGATTTGAATCTACTCTAAAAAATTGTATTTAATTATATCTGGCTCATTTCGAAACGAAGAAAGCCATAAAAATAGTTGTGGAAGAACAACAACTACCTGCTATTAAGGGTAAAAATAATAAATAAAAATGTGAATCACTCAAATGGAGAAAACAATCGTGTGAAGCATGAGCCTATGGGAGAGAAAGAAGGAGAAGATAAAAGCCTATTTAGCCCTGTGGGGTTGGAGGGAACATTCTCTAGTAAAAACTGGATCAATGGATAATACAATTCAAGAGTTTCCATTGGGCTTAGCCATCATGGGTTATTAACCATAATATAAGAAAATAAAGTTTTCAAAATAAAGTTGGGAAGATCTATCTATATTTTGGGGCATTTTTCATAAACAATTATCCCACTTGCACTTGTTGGATATGAAATGGTTATAGCCAACTATAACTGACGGATCTTGTTGGCTATCTATTATCTCATATCCAACATCAATCATGGAAATATGGTTTAATATCCTGTGATCTGGGGTGAGCATTCTTTGTCCATACAGCCCCTAATCTCTAGTGGGGTTTTTATTATTTCTATCCTTGATAAATGTAAGCACTGATTTCAACAAATTGATGGCCATTACAAATTTGCATTCTTCAGTGTTATGTAATGATGTGACTTCAGTGTGGCAATAACCATCATTAGAAAGTATTTCGTTCAGAACATTATTAGTCCAGAAGGATACATAACCCAGTGTACCTTTCCACAACATCTGAGCCAAAAGCTTTTTGTGGTTTATGCAAACAAACCGGACAAAGAAATAAAGGTTGATTTTCTGCTTGAATGACTGATTTACTCTCATTCATGGCATAAGCAAAATATGAACAGTGAGCCATTCCAAGCACGTGACATATTTCATAGCTTAATATCTGAAAACAAAAAAAAATTGAGAATGATGGAAAAGGAGATGACAAGTATAGCTTAAAGTATAATCTGAAGATACATTTTCTCTCTGAGAATGAATTCCACTTTAGCTTTTATGAGGGTGGCGGAGGGTTTTTATGTACTGCATGATTAAGCCTAATACTTATTGGAGATGTGTGAATTTTACAGAAAGCCAAGGTATAGTAAGGTTTGAAGTTTCAACTTTTAAAATTTTGAGATTATATACTGTTTATAGCATGTCATAAATTATCTTAAAATTTGTACATGAAATGGGATCTAGACCCCTCCCCCCCCCCCCCTTCACCCTTTGCTACCCTTTCATATGGGGAAGGCCTTCCAATTTGCCATCTAAATATGAAATTAAAATGATGGTTACTATTAATATTGATAAAATAACAAATTTTGTCACAACAGTAGGTTTTCACAGTCTCCAAATGATCTCTTCATTGACTTTTTCTAAATCTGCAAAATCTTCCAGGTAAAGGCTTACATCATGATGGCCATTCTTCTCAAAAGAGACTGAGGAAATAGTTCTATCAGCTTTGCCACATTGCACTCCTGCAATATTCTGACTTGTTGTATCATTTAAATGTCTATTCTGGTAGGACTATGGCTCAATGGCCAAAGCTGACCACAGCACAACCCTCCTCACATGATGATTCCCCAAGAACAAAGTTCCAATCTTCACCAGGATAAAGATCCACCCTTGTAAGACCAATGACACAGTAACCATCAGCAAGGAGATTAGTTTTCAATTAATGCATCAAATCTGAAATAAGAGTTAAAAAGGTTTTTGATCATTCATTTTGATTAGATACAGTTGTGACAAATATTTATTGCTTGCTGCGTGACACTTCCAGTATGGACTGGAACATTTCAACTTATTACTGCAGTCTTCTTTCCTTTTAATTATGATGTGGATTAGTTACAAGGCTCCAACCATGTGTTCAACAGATGGTACATATTAAGCAATCCACTTTATCACCTGAAGAAGATCACCAATAAGCAATCAAAATGTTGCAATTCAAAATGAAGGGACTGCATTGAAAGATAAGTAATGAATAATCTATTATTACATTTGAAAGTGAATAGACTACTAATGCAAAATTTAAACTTTTGTTTTCTTTTGCCCTGTTCCCTTTTAGACCCACAATATCATAGCTAATTATTCCCATTAACTGGATAATAATAAATTCCCCCATTAATACATGTAAATGCCAAAAACTAGCATTACAAGATGATTTTGTTTTATCAACTGAGTTGATTTTGCTAATTGGCCACTGTAAAGAGTTTTTAAAGCTGACTTTTTTTACATTTATTTAGCTCTTCATCAGAACAAATGCCTGCCACACCAGCCACAGACACAGCATCACTGACAGTTTCCTCAGATACTAACCCCCTTTCTCCTAATTCTATCGGCAATTAGGTGTTGTAAAACCAAAATCAGAGTGGTAAGAAAAGCCAATCATGTTGTATCAAAAGAAATAGCACAAAAGGCCATTGAGAGCTCCTACTAAAAACAGAAAAACTACCCAAAGTACAGGAAAACCCAAGTAACCAAGTTGAAATTGGCCTTGGTTTTTGTATCTGATTGGTGGAAAATTTGGCACACAATTTTCAAGACTAATTACAGAGAGACAAAAAGTGAAATTTAAAGATAGCAATCCTGGATTACTTTCCACACTTGACTGAGAATTTATTTCGTGTAGGAAGAATGTATACAAACTGGTCACTCCTGGCTTAAAAGAGTAAACATAACATTTTTACTTGAATATGCATCATGGTACTTACTTAGGTGCTTAGCCAAGGGTAGCACTTATTAAAAAGTTGGATGAAACCTAGAAATTTCTCCTTAAATTTCACTGGAAATTGCATTTTTACCTGTACTAAAAATTTTAATGTAACTAACAGGGGCATCTTTTGATTGTTGCCATTCATCTCTTCGTGTACTTTAGGAACTATTCTGTAAGAATCAAACACCTTTGGAATGAAAAATTTTCAACCCTCCTTCAAATTTTGCATGCAGTTAGGCACTCAGGAGAATGCACAAAAATGCCTTTTTTATAAGTAGCACTCTTGTTTCCATGGTAAGAACCACTGCTTTTTTTGCAGCCTGGAGGCCTCACTTTCATACAAAAACATCCCAAAAAAAGTTTGAAATTTTTTCATCATTGACTTTACTATAATGTATCCAGTTTTCTTTAAGAGTAAGTGTAAACACACCGATCGATTATTTATCTCAATACAGTTTCAGTCATTTTAGCTGTAGGGTAAAACAGGGAAAACGTTTATCTTAATTTCTCCAAAAGTACGTTGATTCTGGAACTGAGACCATGCACCTAGTTGGTGGTAATATACTACTTTCTAAATATATAAAATACAGTCAGGGAGATAAATACCTCTAATAACATAAATACTGATGAAATACCAAGCGAGCTTGCATGTGTTCAAAACATGATATCTTCACACATGAAGATAACATGTTATCTTCAGGCATGAAAACATCACTGTTGCTATGGTTACATGAAAAACATACCTTTCCATGTTCTGTTTTAAAAAAAATATTAAAGTGAAATGATTGGTGTTTCATTGGTGTTTATATAATGATTAGAATATTACATGGCCACTTGGCGATACCAAATTTCCCTTGAAGGGAAATTTCTTATCTCCGAGTGGCCATCCTCGGGCGACCCTAAAAGCCGGAACGGTGGAACGGTGGAACGGTGGAACGGTGGAATGGTGGAATGGTTTTCAGGCTTCTCTGGCCAAAAAAAGGCTATTTCACTAATTCTTCTAATTTGCCGCTGAAGGGAGCGAAGTCGAAAAACAAATATTCAAGCATCATTGCACACGGTTCCATGCACACAGCTTGAAACCTAACGATATGTTCACTTTTAATCCCATGGAGTATTTTTGCCTCTTTGAGGAAAAGACGTTTTTCCTTCTTGTCCTCACCTAACAGTTTTTTGATAACGACCTTCTCAGAATTGTTTCTCGCCACAAAAACCAAACCATAGGATCCTCGACCGATAGCCTCTTCTTTGTCTCGCAACTGCTTCCACTCGAATAATGGTAAACCATGACAATCCAAAGATCCGTCTGAATTACACTTCCCTTTCAGAAAGGGCAATTTAAACGCCATAGAGTTGACGATTTGCAATTTGTTGAGGAACAGAAGAAATCCGCTTAACGAATTAGTGAAATAGCCTCTTTTTTGTCCAGAAAGTTAATTTCTTCCGCTGATATGTAAGCCGTAAATTTTACAATAGGATGGTGGTGTTTTGGACACCTGGTCGCGAAGAAATTCTTCAAATTCTTCTTGACGGCTTCCTTCTGCTAACTTTCTTTTGTCTTTTCACGCCATGAGAAATTCCCACGCGCGTGACACCCTGCAAACCTCTCTTCAACTAGTGTTACTCAAGTCCCAAAACTTATTCGTGGATAAAAAAACGCTCGTATTGAAGGGCTCGTAACGAGGGCTTGCTCTCACGCTAGTCTAAGTTTGGAGCTGGGGCTGAACGTTGTCATATTTTGAGAAGCCTGAAAACGTTCCTGTGATGTTCTCACATTTACAAGCATATGAGATATTATTGTTTCAATAAATCAATACAGACGTGACCAGGAAACGTATCAAAGTTATAATTGTTTATTGTAATGTGGTATGTCGAGTTGGTTTTCACATGCTGTGCGACTTTTTATGCCGCGACTAAAACTCATGGCAAATTTTGCATAACAAAAGGTAACTAAACAGGGTTACAACGCGAAAACGCAGCTATCTTTCATGCATAATGGTTCATTATTATTTATACCACTCAGTAAAAGAAAAAAAAATTAATAACACTTAATTTTAGTCACGCGCGTTATCGTTGTGGGGATAAATGAGCCAAGCGCTTGGTGTCTTTGTACAAAAGTTGTGCAACATGCCCTGACATCCGTTCCGTGCTTTAGGATTTGAGGTCATTTTCCGCCATTCCGCCATTCCGCCGTTCCGGCTTTTAGGGTCGCCCGCCATCCTCTATTTTCTAACCAAGTTTGAGGTCCCCAAGGTTTGTTATGAACCAAGTTTTTTTGCTCAGATTTATGGCTTAAGTGCAAAAACGTGTGGGCCATAAGTCCAAGCAGAAAAAAAACGTTTCCAGACCTTATACTGCAGACCTAGAACTTTGTTCGTAAGATATATATTTCATCTCTAGGTTGAAATAGAGGAGGAAGGTTTCAATTAACATAACTGAGAGATGTGACAAGATCAGTTTGTAAAGTAAACGTAAATAATACAGCCTTATATACTCTGACCTGTTACTAACAACTGCAGTTTTCCAGTATCTGGATGAAATCTTTGTTTACAATTCACCTTCGTGACGGCAATCTCTTCCAGAAATTTCACGGTCATTCCGAAAAAGTAGCAACTCACAAATATCCTGATCAACTCGAAAGTGGAGACACTTCCATGCCAAGGGGCCGACAGACAATACATATATTATATTCTGTCGAGATCGCTTTCTGTGATGCTTCTTCAAATTCCTGCAACACATTTGAACCCTCCACTCTGGATAGGTTTGAATTTCACGAAGATCTGGGGCATCTCCAGTATATGTTTGATAAAGATTTTGACATGAATCCGTGGCTAGCTCGAGAAGGGAACGTACCCCACCATCAAAATCTAAGTTTTCCAATAAGTGCTCTGCCGTTCATCGTTTTCGATTTTGTTCTGTTCATTTTAAATATTCAGCATTCAAAAGCAGCTACTTCACAGTAAGAGCACACAGTACAGCCGCCATGTTGTTTAAGTACTTTTTCCGATGAGGCCCTGGAAACGAAGTCTTCAACCGCGCGCATTGGGAGTTACTACATCACGGGCGACGAGCGGGGGAAGAAAAAAAGATAGAAATATGAATGGTCAGCGGGGAAACAAATTTAATACTTCATAGCCTTCATAAGGCTAATGTGTTTACCTTGCTTAAATATTTATAATAAGGGCCACTCGTTCAGGAGACCTTTTTTCAAAAGATCCAGACGTTAAAATAATTCTGTTTTCCGTTCGAAGTGTTTTTTTCCTATTTAATTTAACAAATGAACCCGGTATGAAAACTTAATTTTCGAACCGAACGGCAGGTGAAATGTTGTGTTGGTGTCTCTGTCCCCCATGTAAATATTGACTCTAATAGGCATGTAGGAAATCTCTGAGCTTCGAGAAACAGTCAAGTTAAGGCTAATGTGTTTACCTTGCTTAAATATTTATAATCAGGGCCACTCGTTCAGGAGACCTTTTTTCAAAAGATCCAGACGTTAAAATAATTCTGTTTTCCGTTTGGAGTGTTTTTTTTCCTATTTAATTTAACAAATGAACCCGGTATGAAAACTTAACTTTCGAACCGAACGGCAGGTGAAATGTTGTGTTGGTGTCTCTGCCCCCCATGTAAATATTGACTCTAATAGGCATGTAGGAAATCTCTGAGCTTCGAGAAACAGTCAAGTTAAGGCTAATGTGTTAACCTTGCTTAAATATTTATAATCAGGGCCACTCGTTCAGGAGACCTTTTTTCAAAAGATCCAGACGTTAAAATAATTCTGTTTTCCGTTCGAAGTGTTTTTTTTTTCCTATTTAAT